TTCTATGACATTAGCGATGTAATTTACACTATTTATTTTAATTCATTTTAATGAGAAACAACGAGGAACAGGTGAATAATGTTTAGAAATTATTATTTCAAGACATGTAAAGCATTTTTGCTCGTTTATGTGGGCCGTCCCAAGCATGGTTGCAATGTGCTCATTGTCAAACTCCAAAATCAGATTATTTTGAACAAAACAAATATATATATATATATATATATATCGCGCACTGCTGGACAAACTAAGTAATTGCACCATTTCAAGCATTTTATCTGCATTATATGTTCTGTAAAAAAAAATTCATATCGGCGGCATATTCACCGATATATCGGCGACAGACTCATATCGGCCGATAATATCGGCAAAACAATATATCGGTCGGGCTCTAGTTTTATTATTCAATGAGCAATTTGAATATTTATTGATTTATTTTGTTATTATTATTATTTTACTTATTTATTTATTGATAAAGTAGAAGGATTTTATTATCAGCCATTTATCGCTTATCGGCTATAAAAATAATTATCGGTGTGTCAACTAGAATTTTAATCTGGTCCATCTCTATGGTATTTATCAAAAGTACAGTGGTATTGCCATCTGATGCTGTCATTATTCCATGGTGCCGCCACAGTAGCTTTTGTAATGGCAGACATACACATAAACATTTTTCTGGCATATTCGTTCAGCTCTTCATTCTTCAGTACTCTTTCTTTTAGCGGGTGGTCTCAAGTGTTGGATAACCAGCGACTGGCACAATTCCAGCTTCAATCTGTGCTGCAATGGAGCGGTGACCCAGGGTGAGGAGAGCGTTCTAAATGAGGTCTCGCTCTAATTTGTCATCTCTCCATTTTTGTATTATGTTTAGCAGGCACCATGTGGACAGATGATCTGGAAGAGAGGGAAAGTGCGGTGGTGTTCTGTGGGTTCACATCTGGGAACGATTGCGTTCGCATATGCACATTGTTCATGTGGAATTGTTCTCGCAAAACTGACGTCCACGTTCTCGTTTCTGTTTCTCCAAATATTCTCACGATTCCGTAATTTCGTCCCAGTGACATTTCGTCCTGTACGTGATGCTCAATTGGACAGATGCAAGAAGTTATTGATTGTTTGGGTGAAGTAATGAAACATGATGATGTTTGCAGTTCCTTTCCATTTCTATAGCAGAATTCCGCATGGTTTGAAACCTACAAACCTGAATAATTCGGTGAACCATATTTCTTTTTGCTGAACACATTGGTTTTGCTGGATAAGATAGTGGAGAACCAGGTTCTTGCTAGTTGGGCCGGTCAATTATTGTAGTTTTTCTAGTTTAAAATGGCCTATAATTCTATTCTAGCTGTGGTTAGGCAGTCTAGTGTGGACAAACCAGCATCCAAAAACACAATATATGTTAGTCCTTCCAGCATGATAATGTTCAGTAAGCTTCTAAGCATGTAGATATGGTGATTATAATACACATTTATGCTTATTTAACTGCTGTATTTCGATCATTCCCCATGGTTTCTCTTCAAGGGTATGTAGATTCCCGGTGGAAAAGGCCCACAATCCTGTTCTTGACAAAGCTCCCCTCGTCTTTGCCAGCTCTGGGTTTTTGAAGTGCTTTTTTTAGCAAATCTCCAGTTCCCCAATGGCTCCAGTAGAACACCCCAGAAACCCTCAGTGGTGGCTCAGCAAAATCCATTTCATTTCCGCCCAGCAGAGCTCATACTATCATCCCTCTGTAGCCGGCGTGTGGTATTAAATATTCATTTCATTAATGTCGGAGGCATATCAACGCAAATCTCATTTTAATTTGACATCGCCACATCTGTTTCGAATTTCTGTGAAGCATAAAGTTCTGCAAATTCTGGAAACTGAACAGCCACGTTTGGGTTGCCACGTTTAGTACAATGTGAGGATTTGGATAGCAGTGAAGAAGCTGAGCAGAGTTTGAGTCTGAGCATCAGTAGTATTTGGTATGAGATCCAGCTCATTCAAAACTGATTTGACCTATATTTTATAATTAATAATGTAATTAAAGGTGAGTATTTATTTACTGTATTTATTTATTTAGGATGTACAACCAATGTGATTTGAGCTAAAGAAGCACAATTTAAATTAAAACAAATTTTTTTTGGAACATCATTAAATAGTTTTTTTTTTAGATTTCTGACTTGGGTCCACAAGTATAACACAAGTAGAGAAATGTTCAACAATATACTGGTTGTCCGTTTTTAATACAGTTACACTGAATAGTTGCTTTCAAGCTTCAAAAAGGATGCAAAACACCATACAAGTATCATAAAAGTAATCATGAGTAGTATATTTGTAGTATAATCCAAGTCTTAATGTACATGTTCTTCAAAAATGTATCATTTGTGTTTCACAGACAAAAGAAGGTTATATTACTTATGTTGGGTTAACTGTCTCTTTAAAGTGAAGTGCTTGGCTTCTCTCTCTCTTACCATCACTCTTTCTGTCTCACTTCAGTGGTTTATATCATTTCCAGGACTCTATTCCCATTTTGTAGACACATGTTCAGAACTTGATTTATGTACACACACACACACACACACACACACACACAACTTTCCCCACAAGGCCCTGTTAGATAGTGAGCAGGTTATCAAGTTTCTCAGCTCAGGGTGCAAATCAAGCGTGGGCTGGTTTCACACAACTGTGCAAACTCAATCCCAAGTTTGTTGATCCGGTGAGAAAATCAGAATCCCAGAGCTGATCCACGGACAGCAAACATAGTTCACATTAGGCAGTGACCCTCATCTCTCTCTCCACCGGCCAGTGATCTTCTGCTGGACATGTGTGTCTTTCCTAATTGAAATGAAATCCTTGGCTGGAAGGAATATGCTTGAGAGATTGTTACAGAGAAATGACGAAAAAGAGAGGGAGAGAGGAGGAGAAGAAATTATTTCAATTTCTTTGCAACTCTTTTCAGTGGGGTAAAGGGGGACTTTTACCTGCTGTGACATTACAAGCAGTAGAAACTGGAATCATATGGCCAATTAAGTGCTTAAAGTCTTAAAGGAATTGGGAGGCAGTCAGGAGTTCAGGTTACCTTGAGCATCTCACTTTGATCTAGCGCTGAGGTTAATCGTGCCGACAGGAACACATTCAGGGGCGTGAGAGTCGAAAGAAGTGGTGTTTCTGTTGACTTACATGTACCTGAAATGAAAAGGGGAGAAATACTGATATCTGCTTAGTTCTGAAATATCTGAAGTCTTGAATGAACTGTGCTACTTGCATGTGAATAAGTAATAATAATAATAAAAAAAAAAAAATATATATATATATAGATTTTAGCAAATGGCTGCAATATAACAAAGAGTGAAAAATTTAAGGGGGTCTGAATACTTTCCGTACCCACTGTATATATATGTATATATATATATATATATATATATACACTACCGTTCAAAAGTTTGGGATCAGAACGATTGTTTATGTTTTTTTAAAGGAGTTTCTTATGCTCATCAAAGCTGTATTTATTTTATCAAAAATACAGGAAAAAAAGAAATAGTGTGAAATATTATTATGATGTAAAATGTAAATTTTCTATTTTAATATACATTAAAATGTCATTTATTCCTGTGATGCAAAGCTGAATTTTTAGCATCATTACTCCAGTCTTCAGTGTCACATGATCCTTCAGAAATAGTTCTAATATGCTGATTTATTATCAGTGTTGAAACTGTTATGCCGCTTAATATTTTTTTGGAACCTGTGATACTTTTTTCAGGATTCTTTGATGAATAAAAAGTTAAAAAGAAGAGCATTTATTTAAAATATAATTATTTTCTAACAATATACACTACAGTTCAAAAGTTTGGTGTCAGTAAATTTTTATTCTTTCTTTTTTATTTAAGAAATTAAAACTCTTATTCAGCAAGAATGTGTTAAATTGTTAAGAAGTGAGTGCAAAGATTTATATTGTTAGAAAATATTTATATTTTGAATAAATTATGTTCTTTTTAACTTTTTATTCATCAAAGAATCCTGGAAAAAGTATCGCAGTTTCTAAAAAAATATTTGGCAGCACAACTGTTGCCAACATTGATAATTCTAATAATAAATCTGCATATTAGAATGATTTCTGAAGGATCATGTGACACTTTACACTGGAGTAATTGCTGATGGAAATTCAGCTTTGCATCACATAAATAAATTATATTTTAAAATACATTACAATAGAAACCATTATTTTATATTGTAATAACATTTTGCAAGATTACTGTTTTTTTTCCTGTATTTTTGATCAAATAAATGCAGCCTTGATGAGCATAAGAGACTTCTTTAAAAAACTTTACAAGTCTTACTGATCCTAAACTTTTGAACGGTAGTGTATATATATAATTTAAATGTAAATAAATAAAGGTATATAAAAACATCAGAAATGTGCATTGCAAAAGCAAATATGGTTCATTTTGATTTGACATTGACTAGGTTTGGAAAATATCTAATTTAAAATTGCTATGTTTCACCACGTGTGCTTTTCCCATGTCATGTGTATATAATTTAAAGCATTGGACTAATCTAATGTGCTGCTGTACAGTATCTAAATGACACTGAAAGGAATGCTGTCTTGGATTAATGGGAACGCTTTAAGTGAATCCATCAGAAGGCTAACTCTCAAATATACAGCTCGTTCGTGTGAGCAGATATTAGATGTTATTGCGCACTTGAGCAGTGGTTTAGATGAATGTTCGATCTTCACTGCTCACTTGTGTCCCACATTAATATCACTTACACGCAGGAAGAGCACTTTATGTTTCAAACCCTTCTTTGTGCCTCTCTAGCTAATGTAAACAGAAGTTTTAGGTTTAATCTTTGTATGTTTGAAATAGATTAGAGGTGGTTTGTGCTGGGCAAGAGTAGAAAAATGTTCCTCTCGTGGTTTCTAATTTGTTATTCCTCTCCTTTAAACATTAACTTGAGTGATTTCATGATAGAAATGCTGTTCGTGTTTCTAATATCTGTTTTTCTTTCTCTCTTTTTATCAGTTCTTCGAGATGATTTCAGACAGAACCCTGTGGACGTGATGGTGGCAGCGGGCGAGCCAGCGGTCATGGAGTGCCAGCCACCCCGCGGACACCCAGAACCCACCATCTCCTGGAAGAAAGATGGAGTGACCATAGACGACAGAGATGAGAGGATAACGGTAAGGATATCTGACAAGGTTTCCTGTAAGCCTGACTGGTTAGTACTGGTTTGGTGCTCAACTAGCTGGTGCAAGAGCCTTGTTTTACACTGGCTGGTTAAAGGGATAGTTCGCCCAAAAATGAAAATTTACTGAAAATTCAGTTTGTTTCTTAATCAGAACAGATTTGTAGAAATTAAAAACAATATTGCTTGCTCACGAATGGATGCTCTGCAGTGAATGGGTGCTGTCAGAATAAGAGTCCAAACAGCTGATAAAAACATCACAATAATCCACACCACTCCAGTCCATCAGTTAAAGTCTTGTGTAGTGAAAAGCTGCATGCTTGTAAGAAACAAATCCGTCATTAAGACGTTTTAACGTTAACCCTTTGACATGTATGATCATACCGGTGTGATCACTATAGTCATACCTATCAACCCTCCCGTTTTTCCCGGGATTCACCCATATTTTCTGTTTAAAAAAAAAGATCCCACTGGGCGTATTTTATATGTTTGCTACATTCGCTTCCGGTAAAACACCCGTAATTTGTATGGGCCAAACCTCATTATATGAATAATCACGACAACAAATTCCAAGGTTGTCCAGTTGCCAGATCTTGTATGAAACGTATCTTTCTCACACGATCGACGCATACAAATTTCAACCCATTTATCCCCTCAACTTGACAACCTACAGCCCAGCGATGCTATTGATATGTGCACAGGAAGTACCGCGGGAAAGAAACCAGGATCACTGGTAGAAATGGGAGGAGAAGAATCGGGTGGTGCTCCAGTGAAAAAAAACGAAATATACATGTAAATTGAGATTTAGCTTACACTTCAAAAGGCTATTTAATTGATTAAATATGGACTAATCTAATGTGCTGCTGTACAGTATCTAAATGACACTGAAAGGAATGCTGTCTTGGATTAATGGGAACGCTTTAAGCGAATCCATCAGAAGGCTAACTCTCAAATATACAGCTCGTTCGTGTGAGCAGATATTAGATGTTATTGCGCACTTGAGCAGTGGTTTAGATGAATGTTCGATCTTCACTGCTCACTTGTGTCCCACATTAATATCACTTACACGCAGGAAGAGCACTTTATGTTTCAAACCCTTCTTTGTGCCTCTCTAGCTAATGTAAACAGAAGTTTTAGGTTTAATCTTTGTATGTTTGAAATAGATTAGTGGTGGTTTGTGCTGGGCAAGAGTAGAAAAATGTTCCTCTCGTGGTTTCTAATTTGTTATTCCTCTCCTTTAAACATTAACTTGAGTGATTTCATGATAGAAATGCTGTTCGTGTTTCTAATATCTGTTTTTCTTTCTCTCTTTTTATCAGTTCTTCGAGATGATTTCAGACAGAACCCTGTGGACGTGATGGTGGCAGCGGGCGAGCCAGCGGTCATGGAGTGCCAGCCACCCCGCGGACACCCAGAACCCACCATCTCCTGGAAGAAAGATGGAGTGACCATAGACGACAGAGATGAGAGGATAACGGTAAGGATATCTGACAAGGTTTCCTGTAAGCCTGACTGGTTAGTACTGGTTTGGTGCTCAACTAGCTGGTGCAAGAGCCTTGTTTTACACTGGCTGGTTAAAGGGATAGTTCGCCCAAAAATGAAAATTTACTGAAAATTCAGTTTGTTTCTTAATCAGAACAGATTTGTAGAAATTAAAAACAATATTGCTTGCTCACGAATGGATGCTCTGCAGTGAATGGGTGCCGTCAGAATAAGAGTCCAAACAGCTGATAAAAACATCACAATAATCCACACCACTCCAGTCCATCAGTTGTGTAGTGATGTAGTGAAAAGCTGCATGCTTGTAAGAAACAAATCCGTCATTAAGACGTTTTAACGTTAACCCTTTGACTCATACCGGTATACCGGTGTGATCACTATAGTCATACCTATCAACCCTCCCGTTTTTCCCGGGATTCACCCATATTTTCTGTTTAAAAAAAAAGATCCCACTGGGCGTATTTTATATGTTTGCTACATTCGCTTCCGGTAAAACACCCGTAATTTGTATGGGCCAAACCTTATTATATGAATAATCACGACAACAAATTCCAAGGTTGTATAAAAACATCACAATAATCCACAAGTAATCCACACCACTCCAGTCCATCAGTTAAAGTCTTGTGTAGTGAAAAGCTGCATGCTTGTAAGAAACAAATCCGTCATTAAGACGTTTTAACGTTAACCCTTTGACATGTATGATCATACCGGTGTGATCACTATAGTCATACCTATCAACCCTCCCGTTTTTCCCGGGATTCACCCATATTTTCTGTTTAAAAAAAAAGATCCCACTGGGCGTATTTTATATGTTTGCTACATTCGCTTCCGGTAAAACACCCGTAATTTGTATGGGCCAAACCTCATTATATGAATAATCACGACAACAAATTCCAAGGTTGTCCAGTTGCCAGATCTTGTATGAAACGTATCTTTCTCACACGATCGACGCATACAAATTTCAACCCATTTATCCCCTCAACTTGACAACCTACAGCCCAGCGATGCTATTGATATGTGCACAGGAAGTACCGCGGGAAAGAAACCAGGATCACTGGTAGAAATGGGAGGAGAAGAATCGGGTGGTGCTCCAGTGAAAAAAAACGAAATATACATGTAAATTGAGATTTAGCTTACACTTCAAAAGGCTATTTAATTGATTAAATATGAGCGCTGCAAGTTTCAAAGTCAGGTGCCCCGCTGCTTTGTCTACTGCAGTTACCGGGGAAACGGCTATATTCCTGGCGAAAAGCGCCACCTGCTGGCAGAGAATGAATTAGCATTTTTCAAAAAGCCCTTCTGCTCTGTTTAGAGAGCCAAAACAACCCTTATTTTCATGCAGAAAACACGCAGTTGTAAATGTGAACTGGTGGATCGACAACAAGATAATGAATTATAAAACTCTAAGGATATAGCCTACACTAAGATATATTTATGTTACTAAATTAATATAATTGTTTGATAATAATTGTTTAAATGAAGTACTTTTGGAGTACTTTTGACTCCGCCCCCCCCCCATACCCCCCATACTCCCCATACTCCCCATACTGTGGTGTGTCACATGATAAGCATGCCGCGTCGCCATGGAAACAAGGAGATACATTCTATAATAACAGTTGCCTAAAGAAACTCACGCTGGTCGGGTCAGCTGGAATATTTTAATCGCACGTGTGAAAAGGTTAAACCATTGCTTCTGGACAAAATACAAGTCAATAATCCAAAATAACACTTCCTCCAATGGAAAAAGTCCATTCACATCAAAATCCACTGACATTTTAGAACTGCTTTAGACTGTTTTTGCTTGTAAACGGTGCTTGATCTGTGCATATTTCTCTCCTGATTCTGACAAGATGTCTTTTTCACTGGAGAAAGTAATCTTATGGATAGAGGACTTGTATTTTAGCTGGAAGCAATGGTTTGAAGTTAAAAACTTGCTATATTTGTTTCTTACAAACACGTAGCTTTTCAGTTCACAAGACTTTAATTGATGGACTGGAGTGGTGTGGATTACTTGTGGATTATTGTGATGTTTTTATAAGCTGTTCTGACGGCACCCATTCACTGCAGAGGATCCATTGCTGAGCAAGTGATGGAATGCTGAATTTCTCCAAATCTGTGTGATGAAGATCTGATGAAGAAACAAACTCTGGCCTGTGGGTGAACCATATAGGTCAGCTGACACGATTTCTGGGACACTAGAAGTATATCTGCCTAGAACAGTAGTCCCACCACAAAACTGATGATTTAAACACAATTACTGCTTAAATAACACTTTTTTTGGAAGACTTAGTGTAAGTGCTTTATAAAAAATTATGGACTTCACATTTCAGCTTTGTGCTTGCAAATTAAACCACATCCCTTCCTCATTTCCAATTTAGCATTACTAACAAAGACCTTGTAATTGTTAATAAAAAGAGACACAGCAAAAAGAAGTTCCCTTATTTAATGCATGTGGATAACAATTGCTTCTGCTGCATTTTTCGAGCAAATGAAGGCCGATCAGGGCTTCTGCTGATGAGTGTTTAAACTGAGTCACGTCCAACTCTGTCAGGGAAATTTATGGAGCCCATTCATCTGATTGGAAGGGCATGTGGGAATGAAAGTTTGCCTTCACCAGTGTTCACAAGCTGAAAACTCGCTCTCTGCTGATTTAATGCAGTCTTTAAACCAGGGTCACCAATTAGGTTTTTCTAATTAAATGTGTGGGAAATTAAGTAACGGGATCAATCAGGCCTCTTTTGTCGTTAAAAGAGTGACTTTGATGTGCACGCCGCTGCTCGTTTTCCATGTGGCTTATTTGTGTAGAATAAAGCTAAAGGTGGTTTGAGGGGGTTTGTTATTTTTAATCAAACCAAGACAGGGTTTCTGAGAATACAAATGTAGTGCTTAGCATGGGCTTTTAAAGGCAATGAAGGAATGTTACACATTCCAGCGTTCTGACAACGTGTAACTAAGACGTTGGTGGAATGCAATTGTGGTGATTATGATAAAATTGAATCAAACAAGATCACGTTTGTTGTTGTTGTTAGTGCTGCTGGTGTGTGTGTGTGTGTGTGGCTTATCTCCAGTCTGCAGTCTACAATGTTGAAGACAGTAAACTGTATGGTCATCACACAACACACACACACACACACACACACACACACACAAAACAAAGCACCACAGCAACAAACACAACAAAATATATATAAAGTATACTCTCAGAAAAAAAGGTACAAAGACATTCAAATAAAATAATTAAAATACAACAACAACAATAATAATAATAATAATAATAAAAAATAAAAATAAATATATATATATATTTATACAACAGTTCGTTCTGGTTCTCAAATCTGATTGGTTGAGAACCGTGAGATATTGTACTGGTATCGCTACAGGAATGCTCTTTCACAATTTAGTATCCGCTTGTGCTAGCCGGGTCTATGTTTTTTTTTATTATTCACTGAGCTAATCGTAGAGTACGTTAGTTAATATAAGAAGAAACGTCTAGCTTCGCGTTAACTGTCAACTTGAGCTTTGAATCCGTGGCGGAAGGAAGTAGTTCCACACAAAAGAGGGTTTTATTAGGCACTCCGTTGAGTGTTTCTTGTTTAATTACACACACATTCTGTCAAACTGTTGTATAAGTATATATATATATATATATATATAGGAATGTAATGAGCTGATATTCATTGAGACATTGGCTCAACTACAGCTCTGCGTACAATAATGAGCATCAACATTATTCATTTGTTTTGCGTTCCACTGTTATCTCTAAATCAAAGCGCTCCAATTTGGCCATTAATTGCTTTTCAGCAGTAATTGCTGCAGTCTGCTTGAAAATTAACCGGAGCAGCGCGGCACATTGAAGCTGACGCTCCGTATTGTTTCGCAGCGTTTTGTTCTGAGTTTGTGTGTGATTATCTGGCCTGCTGAATGACTCCACATGGCGAGCCCCATTCAGGCACTTCTGCTCAAGCAGCGCTGCCAATCCACACAAGACAAAAGGCATGCGAATAAAGCAATCTCCCAGAGCTCAGATTGATCGCATCCTCAGCAGCCGCCCTGCTGTTACCCGAGGACGGAGGGAGCGAGGGAGGGTTCATTGACTCTGGACCGAGAGTGAAACGATCCTGCCGTGATGGAACTCAAAATATGTGTCTGTGTGCTTGGGATGTTTGGGTAGTTGCATTATGAAATCTAGCAAGCTGCCTATCTAGACAACAGTTTTTAGGTTTCATGCCTTATACCACATTTATCCTTAGCAGATAGCACAATACATTTCAACAAGCATCTCACTATCTTTTGAAATGGAGCTCATGTTTTTTCCTGAGGCACATTCTCATTGTTCCTTTGGTTTCAGCCTCTTTTTTACTGTATTTTCATTGCATTCTTCCAAATGCGCGCGTGCACACACATACACACACAAACTTACTCCTACATCGGACCTGACCTTGTCTGCTCTGCAAGTCTTGTGCCGTTTCAGCCGTTAAGCTCTCGCTCAAACAAACAGTAACATAATAACACTTCAAAACCCTCTCCAACACCACGGGGTGCCCTAAAAAACTCGCCCTCCTTCCTTCCCCTCCGACCTCTCCATTGTTTAAAGACACTTTTCCACCATTAATATTTAGGAGAGACGACAGGACTGAAGAATGCTTCAGATCGTTCTAGAACGTGTCCGGTTTGGAAGTGTTCAGAGACGTCCCATATGACCTGGTGAAGGTTTCGTTTAGATGTTTGTTGTCCTTTAAATGCAAGTGACTGTAAAAGGAATCAGATGAAACTAATTTTACTCCTCTGAGAGAGACTGTACACTTTAATGTTCATTGATAGTATATCGATGCTATAGTATATTGAGTATAATAATTTTTTTGTTCATTCCTTAGTATCTATCTATCCATCCATCGTTTCTTCTTTAGTTACTTTATTAGTTTCCATCCATCCATCATCCATCCCTCAATCCATCCATCCATCCATCCATCTCATTTGTCTGTTCAATCTATCACTTTGTGTTTGTCATTCCTTCTAAAATTTTATCTGTCTGTTCATTCATTTATTGTGAATTTCGAGCTGTGATATGCCGTTTTAGTGCAGACTTGAATATTGTTTGTGGCATATGTGCACATGATCTCATAAGTGCATAATCTGCATCAAATTTTTTTAAATGATGTGATATACAGCGAATGCCTCTGGTCTTTATCACTGAGACTCTGTTTACACATTCCACATTCACCGTGTGGTCCCCTGATGCAGGGGTCAGATCTGGGGTATATGTGTATGATTTTGATCCACTCGGGTGAATGAGGACCCCCAGCTGCCCTTACAATTGCCTGAGAACAAAAAAGGGCCCTTTTGGCATGAAGTCAGATGCCTGGGAAAATATAAGCTCAGCTGAATATCCACTACACACATTTACACACACATTTTTCATATATATATATATATATATATATAAAGCTTTATGGGTTTGACCTTTGACATTTAATCCTCATATTTATGACTTTATGACTCATACTGACAGATTGACAGATACGAGGAGGAAAACTGATGATCACCAACACCAGAAAAACGGATGCAGGGAAGTACGTGTGTGTGATTTTAGCAAATGGCTGCAATATAACAAAGAGTGAAAAATGTAAGGGAGTCTGAATACTTTCCGTACCCACTGTATATATATATATATATATATATATAAAGCTTTATGGGTTTGACCTTTGACATTTAATCCTCATATTTATGACTTTCTGACTCATATGTTCTTTCTGACAGATACGAGGAGGAAAACTGATGATCACCAACACCAGAAAAACGGATGCAGGGAAGTACGTGTGTGTGGGAACCAACATGATGGGGGAACGGGAGAGCGAGATCGCAGAGTTGACCGTTCTCGGTACGTTTTCGATATATTTCTGCTTTAATATATGTATTTCGATATTCTCAGATACTCCGGCACATGATCTGCCTTCTTTACAACGCACATGTGTTTATATAATCAGGTTCCCACACAAACCTCTGGTGCATTCGATTGTGGAAATGCATGCAGATGGATTCATTTAAACACACACACGTCGTATGAAGTGTTTGTTTATGGGCAGAGCAGGAGAGAGTCCAGATGTTTAGAGTTTGTGTGCTTAGCTGTAGGAAGACTCTAGCGTGTCATTGACCCTGTTTAGGAGACGTGGACCCATTATTCTCAGTTTGTCGTGAAACAAATACCAGCTCACACTTCACACACCCCTTCATTTACACATACACCCCAAAATACACATTCATCTGTCATCCAACACCTTAACATATCAGTTTACACTACCCAACATCAGAGCTGTGACCTTTGACCTTCCCTCCTTAATCCGTGCAACACAGCCGTCCTCATCTCCATCACTGTCAACCTCATTATTCAATGTCTGCTGGCATATTTACACATTACAGGAGAAAGTCACCAACCATATTAAGTCAAATTGAGTTTAAGTAAAATGTAATTCCTCTGAAAACAATTCCAGAAATCTCAGCAGATTTAAGTTGAAATGTGTCACACAATCAGTCTCAGACTCACACAATGCTTAAAAATAAGATTTTAAATACCTTCTGCCATTGGTCATTCAAACAGATAGTCCCGCCCCCAACTCAAGTCATTGGTTGAGCCATCGCTGATATGTTAATACATTTCTGAGAAAGCTTGTGAATTACTGACTTAGTTGAATCTGTATTAAGATGGACGCAACTTATTTTTAAGTTATTATTTTTATTTTTGGCATTTTTAACCTAAACATATTTAGATCAATTAGTTGCCATGGCAACATTTGTCTTTTTATTTATTTATTTTAATTTTGTATTATTTTATTAAGTGTTTAATCAAATTTATTTTTCATTTATCGAACATTTTTATCAAATAGTTATAGTTAACAATAACACTGATAGCAGTAGTAGCTAGCCCACATGTTATATGCGAAGTAATATAAATGGAAAGTGTAATAAACAACATGGACTAAAAAAAATCATTAGGTACAAGTGATCAATAAACATGAATTAACTGCTGTGATAGTAAATGTGCCTTTAAAGGCACTGTAGGGCTGTTTCCTCATATCAGTGGGTTAGATATATCCTAATATCATAGTTATGTAATCTTAATAAATCAATCAGAGAGGAAGCTTTCTTTAGGATTAGCTGCATGAACCTTTAGGATAAAACAACAAGTCAGAGTTCAAGTTGAAGCAAAATCAAACGGTGAATTGTTTGTTTGAGGAAATCCACTAAAAGTAGCTGTTATGAAGAAGAAAGATGAGAATGAGTAAAAATAGATGGATATATATAGTTCACTGTAAGTTCATAAGTAGCCAATCAGATGAGAGAAGGGAATAGCTCATAGGGAAGACTAGGAAAGTTCTTGGATTACATAATAAGCTGTGTGTTTGTCTGCAGAGAGACCCAGTTTTTTGCGAAAGCCGAGCAGTCAGTCTGTTCTGGTGGACCAGAGTGTGGAGTTCAGATGTGAGGCTCAAGGGGATCCTGTGCCCACCATCCGCTGGAGGAAAGAGGACGGAGATCTTCCCAAGGGAAGGTATGAGTGATAAAGCGTCTGGTTAGTTTATAGTAATAACAATAAAATATGAATGGGAAATGCCCAGAAAGAAATAATCATCTCTGTTCTTTAGAGTTGGAACCTCTTGCATGTGTATTTGTTTGTGTACCGTCATCTTCTCAGACATGAGATCTGGGAGGACCACACGCTCAAACTGAAGAGACTGACTTCAGGAGACGCCGGTACTTACACCTGTCAGGCAGAGAACATGATGGGGAAGACGGAGGCCAGCGCCACCCTCACAGTCCACGGTAAGAACACACAAACACACACTGTCACTCATCTCACGCTGCTTGACAAACTGCTTTGATCCTGCCAGCACTTATCTACAATTTAAAGTAACGAATGCCCTCAGTGGGCGGGAGATTGTGTGTGTGCTTTGACCAGCTTATTCACAGCTGTTAGTTTTTAGACGAGCGTTTTGCTGCTTTGACAGCTTGTCAGGTTGCTTTGTCCGACTGGATGCTGGATCATTTTGAATATTCCATATCATTTTTTCCTAGCTGTTTGAAAAAAAACCATGTATATGTGTGTGTATATATATATATATATATATATATTTTTTTTTTTTTTTTTTTTTTCAAACAGTTAGGAAAAAATATATTAAAAAAATATATTATATATTTCTGTAATTTTTCTGAGAGAATAATAATATGTTCATGCTTTTTGGATAAATTTGGTCAAATTCAGTTAATTTTTATTTAATTTCATCACTAATCGCAATTCATATTTTATTTCAAACTTGCTCCTCACATTTGTTTTCTTGGTAATACATTTTTACCAAAAGTCAATAATTTTTTTTTTTTATTAATTTTTTTTTATATTATGCTACAACTGAGGTACATTCACAATTTGTGTAATGCTTTTTTTTTAACAATGTTTTTTAAAATAAATATTTAGATATTGAATTGGGTTATGTTTACTTTTCTCTTTTGGTTTATAATAGCATAGTTTTTTAATAATAATTATAATTGTTTAATAATAATAATAATTGCTTGTTTTTATTTGATACTTACAATTATTTATCATTTAGTTGTAATTAATTAATTTTGCTAAATAATTAATTAATACAAAAATACCATCAGTACCTCGGGCATAAAAGAGGTTTAGTTGTAGAAACAGAACACACACCTTTTACTCATGATGTAGATCCATTTTGTTTCTTCATTTTCACTTAAAGTCCCCTTGAGTGTATTTGACACTCTTGAAGGCTCAGCTCTTTAGAGAACAAATGTCCACATTGTGTCCTGACACCCCTGAGCAGTTTTCTCCTTCTTCTCCTCCTCTCTTCTTTCCTGCTTCACTTATTGCTTTTACTGGTTTTTACTGCTTACAGAAATCGCTGAATTATTATTTTACGTGTGTGTTTAGCGGGCCAGCAACATTGGAACCAGACTTATAAACACGCTTGCTTCAATAATCAGTCTGTCCGGTGAAGGGGCTTATTACTAAACTTGCCTTTGGCACAGCATTGCTTTTCAGATGTCAAGGAATGAGATTCCTCAACCATTTCAAAACGATGACTTCTATTAGAGAAGTCTTTTGTCTGGTTGCTGCATGGGCTCTGCTTCAAAACCTAGTGAGCTGCCTACCTAGACAGAGTTTTTGAGCATTATAGGTGCATTTGAGCAGTCAAACGATTCAACAAATGATTCATTAAATGATTTGTCAATTCAAGATTTTTAAAAACTGTCTAGGTGTGCAGCGCACTAGAATCTGAGACTCAGTCAAATACACACAAGCACACACAATCTCTGAGATAAGTCATTTCAAATGAGTGAGTCGGTTCTCTGTTAAAAAGCCACGATAATGTTGGATACAAACGAGGCCTCTCTCAGCTGGCGATTTAGTCATTAGTGATGTATTTGAGGAAAGTGCTAGAATGCCATGCGAGTCCCAGGAGTAGCTGCGCTAATGGGCCATGGAAACCAAGTAGAGAGTGAGAGCCGCAACCACTGCCAAAAGAGCAAACAGCCCGTCCAAGTCGAGTTCTCTTTACCCAGCTGTTCTCAAATACACCGCTTTTCCTCATTTCTCACCCTTCATTTGTGTCTATCTCATAGGATCGACTCCAAATGGCCCAAGTTATTACATTTAAAGTTAAATTTGGTCTATTTACTGAGCTTGCTTAACAAATGTTCTTGGTTTCATTGTGCCGTGATTTCTGTATTCTGACGAAACTTCTTTGCATAATCTTTTAACAAAATTTAATTCCCACTCTACTTTATTCCAACTGAATAATAGGTTGAATTTGGAAATATGTCATTTTAAAGACATTAAATGCTTTGTGATTGCCATTTCATGTTGTTTTCAACTTTTTAAAACTGTGTAGGCTACTGGAGAGTGTAGATTTTTGCACAAAAAGAGAGTTTTGAGTTGCAAAAAGAATGCAAAAACATTCAAACGTTTGAAAACATTAGAATCCAATATTCAGACAAACAGGTAGCCACGCCCCCTAAAATCATGCCATTGGTTGAGCCAGTGTGTTGTTGTTAGTGCTGTCAAACGATTAATCGCATCCAAAATAAAGGTTTTTGTTTACATAATATATGTGTGTGTACTGTGTATATATTTATTATGTTTATATAAATACACACACATGCATGTTTATATTTAAGAAAAACATTTTGTTTATATATAAAATATTTATATTTATATATAATATAAACATATATATACATGTAAATATTTAAAATATATATACATGTATGTTTTAGGCTTGCCGCGATTGACGGTGATACGCCGCAACACCGGTTACGTCACTTGCCCACCGCGTCACTGACCCCCACCGTCGTTTTGATTTTTTATAGTAATAAAAATCATTTAGTTCAGTAAAAGAATAGACACTACAATTAAAAACTGAACGCAGCTGCTCAATGCAGCGTGCCGAACGACAGTCGCATCACAGATCAGATTTCATTTCTCCAGTGAGGAGAGCGAGTCGAGCTGACTGACAAGAAGAGTGAGGTGAGACGGACAAGACGGATGATTTAGTTTCGAAAAACAAATATTTATTGTATTCGCAAGAAATTCGACTGATGTCAAAGACCTCCTGAAATCAAAATGAGAGATTTGTTAGACTTTCTCTTCTAGGACCAAACATTTTTGTCAAATCCAGTGCTCTCTAGAATGAGAATGTCACAGCTGCGTCTGCGACGTAAGCGAAAGATTATTGACCCAACTAAAAATATTGTTTTAATAGAAAATATGTCAACACAGGAAAGAAAACTGTGCTGTTCAAGTCTTTTCATAGCATTGTTTAAAGAAAGTTGAAGATAGAAATGTTTTGCTACAAGCCATGAATAGAAAATAATTTTGATAAAATTGCATTTACAGTAATGCACTTACATTGGAAGTTTAATAATATTATGTATGTTCTGAGTGTGTGTGTGTGTGTATTAAGCAGCACAATTGTTTTCAAGATTGATAATAATAATAATAAAAAATTTTGAGCAGCAAATCAGATTATTAGAATGATTTCTGCAGCATCATGTGACACTGAAGACTGGAGTATTGATGCTGAAAATTCAGCTTTGCCATTATAGAAATAAATTACATTTTAACATATATTGCAGAAGAAAATTGTTATTTTAAATCTATACATTTTATATACTATATACATAGAAGAGTAGTCCCACTGCAAGAAAAATGATTTCATAAATTACAAATAAATAATTTATAAATTAAAATCTGTTTACACTGTCTTTAACGTCATGCTCCATAGACTTCCATTGTAAGTGCATTAATGTGAATGAGTTTTTGTTTGTTTTTACATGCCAAGGGTCAAGATTGCTGTCTTTGGTAATTGATTGATTTAACTCATATTCTTGCAGTTCCTCCTGTGTTTGTGATGCGACCCAGGAATCAAGTGGTCGGTATGGGTCGCACCGTGACCTTTCAATGCGAAGCCACAGGAAGTCCTCAGCCTGCCATTTTTTGGCAGAAAGAAGGCAGTCAGGTGAGAATGTTTGTGTTTTCACTTGTGGTACGAAGATGCATTTCCTTAGCGCACTTTTACAGTAACATATAAAATGCATGGCACTCTTCCCCATTAAAGTCAGATTTATGAGGCTGGCAGATTTATAATTTACACACATCTAATGGGCTCTGTAACACTCCACACCTCTAACACACCTCAGGTCATCTTGGTTTGATCAATATCTCTCATCACACACACAGGAATTCAGGCACACCTTGCCAATAGTAAGTGTGAACGTGCAAGTCCTGAAAAGGTGTTTATTTCTCACACACTGAATATTCTTGGAGTAATTAGTGTTTATGTTTTTATATATATTTTTTTATGGAATTCTACCTCTATTCATATATCTTTTTCCTTTTTCCCCTCTCCAGAACCTTCTGTTTTCTTCTCAACCTCCTCCACCTTCCAGTCGATTCTCTGTCTCTCAGACGGGCGATCTGACCATCACAGCAGTGGAGCGTTCAGACGGAGGCTACTACAGCTGTCAGGCTTTGAACATCGCTGGCAGTGTGATCACCAAAGCCCTGCTGGAGGTTACAGACGGTGAGATGGACGCACTCAGTACAGATGAGGCCTTAGTGAACGCAAAAGTGCTTATGTGCATCCATTTTTGCCACTCAGTTTAAGGGAAGTTTATTTAATTTAATTTAATTTTTTATGAAATATTTTGTATTGATTGCAATATACTGTATTAGTAGCTTAATTTTGCACTGTAAATGCCTTAAACGTTATATTACTTATGGATTTATTTGTAAAACCCATATGACCCGTTCCCAGATGGGCATTGTAAAGATAAAGAGTGAACTTTCTGCTGTTACTCATAGATTTCTGGTTTCATGTAGCCATGTCAAATGTTTTGACATTACAGCACAGTGCAGTTCAGAGGTGTTTTTTGACAGGATGCAACTAATTTTACTTTATCACATTTTAATATTGTAATATTATTTTTTCGTAAATATCATGAGTGATGTAAGTGTGTGATGTACTGAACTCAGTAACTCCTCTGAACAATTCGCTGAGCGAAAGAGTCTGGCTCGGCAGTGAGTTTGAGACTGTTTCATGAATCGTTTAGACTGAATCATTAAAAAGAACCGGTTCATAAGAGTAATTTTTTGGCTAAATAGACATCACAGCTCATGCTGTTCATACTTGCATGCAGACATTGACACGCACTGTATAAAGGCAAAAAGCTGTTAAATATTTGTGGCTGGACATACAATTTTGGTTTAAAATTAACCATAGTTCCCATATTCAATGCAAATAACAATATTTTATAAGAAATACACACATTACTCCAACACTGATTACTCCATATGTTCAAATAGTCAATATGACACTTCAACAGAATAGTGACGGTTCGGCAGTTCACTACAATCCAACATAATCTCCTTTAAGTGCCATCTCTACAAAAAAAAAAAAAAAACACCAAAGCAAGACAAAGAGAATGAGAGTGAGGTAAAGAAAGAATAATAACAGTTATTTTAGCGCCAGTCTGCTCTATGGCCTCACTCTTACAGCGGGCATGGAGTGTAATTCCAGGTCACCGCCACGATGATTCAGTAATTACAACAGCGGTGATGCTAGGACACATGGTTTCTGATACATAATTCATCCCTTTGATGGTCCTTACAAAAGTGTTGTAGGGCTTTGACAACGCGCTGTAGTGGCAGTTATGCAAATCGCAACCGTATAAATGGCGGTAATGCTTCTAGCGATGTCGAACACAATCAGATGGACGTAAACATCACTGCGTTCACTACAATTAGACGGCCCAGGTCTGCTGTTAGAGAGAAGAGGACACGGCAGGGGGGCGATTGTAATAGATGTGAAGCATTTCGGTGTGTTTTAGTGTGCTGATGATGGCCGGTGTGTGTGAGGGAGGTTTAGTGCTATTGAAATGCCGCCGGTATTAGTTGCTCGTCTCTAGTTTGGCTTCACTCTGCTACTGCTGGTGACTGATTAGAAAATTGCTTCCAGTTGAAAAAATTGGATTCCATCTCTATTTCTCTCTCTTTGGTTCTTAAAACATGTACTCAGCTCGTTTGCTGCCAGACATTCCACTCTCACATGCTCTTTTTCCTGGGTTACATTTATTTTTATTTGCATTCTTCGTTCTCTTTACCTCTTTACCGTACACGCACTCGCTTCTTATAAAATGTGGAAGGATGTATTTTGAATTTTGGTTTGGAGTACAGTAGTGTTTTATTATAGTTATTATAATGATATTAGTAGGTCTGGGACAGCTTTACGACTCTCTGTCTCATTCTGTCTTTCGGTCTCTCAGTTTTAGTTGAATGTATTTTGGTGGCATTATAGAGCATTTACATTCATATCACCAAACATTTTGCAGCTTGCTTTTGCAGCAAACATTTAGCTGCATGCATAGAATATTAAATTTTATTCCACAGATATTTTATCAAAAGGGAATGAGGAATACAACAAAGCAATTTATCTTTCTCATTTTATTTAATCTTATTATATTTTAAAAACAAATACAAGAGAAAAAATAACAAGAAAGAGAAAAAAAAATTATGTTAGGAAGTTCTATTTATTATGAGGAATACAGCAAAGTGATTCATCTTAAAGCGATTCATTTTCATTGTATTTTAGGCAAAGCAAAAGTAACAATGATAAGAAACATATATTCATAATTAATTATAACTAGTTATGGTTAATTATTAATATTTCCCATGAGTGAGTCGCTACACTAATAATGAACTGCACTTATACAGCGTTTATTAATCTTTGTTAATGTTAATTTCAACATTTACTAATACATTATTAAAATCTTGTTAACATTAGTTAATGCACTGTAAACTAACATGAACATCTGTATTTTTATTAACTAACGTTAGCGTAGATTAGTAAATACAGTAACAAATGTATTGCTCATGGTTAGTTCATGTTAGTTAATATATTAACTAATGTTTAACTAATGAACCTTATTGTAAAGTGTTACCCATAATGTTAATAATTTAATTATGTAATAATTTAATATAATTTAATAATGTAATTACATTTTTAATTACGAGGAATACAACAAAGTGATTCATTTATTTTTATTTTATTTTAGAAATAAAGGCAAGGAAAAAGTAACAAGGAAGAGGGAAAAAATTATATTAATAATTTGTGATTTATTATTTAGAAATAAAGGAAATGAAAAGAAAGTAATAAGGTCTAGATATTGATAATATAAGTAACAGTGGCAGCATACAATGAAATAAAATATAAAGCAAATACAAATAAATAAATAAATATTTAACATTAATAAAGATTGGGAGTAAATCTTTTTTTTACTGTTGTTATACTTTTATACTCTTAAACAAGGAAGTGATTGGATTCTCTCCGTCTGTCTCTTTCTCAGTGATCTCAGACAGACCTCCACCCGTCGTCCGCCAGGGTCCCACCAACCAGACCGTGGCTGTGGACGGGACGGTGGTCCTGGGATGCCAAGCCACCGGCACGCCGACTCCTACCATCTTGTGGAGGAAAGATGGTGTCCTGGTGTCCACCCACGACTCTCGCCTCAAACAGCTGGACACGGGAGCCCTGCAGATCCGTTACGCTAAGGTACAGTGGCTCTGAGGACTCAGAACCACATCAAAGCCTGACATGTTTATCATGCAGATAAATGTACAGTAACAGGGGATGTGACTCCGGTTCATGGGAACCTTTTCCTTTCGTGGATTTATAACTTTGTAACTGCTCTCTGACCCTTGTGATGCATTCAAACGCTCACGTGTGGAGGTTTGAGCATGAACAACAACCAACTTGTTTTCGTAAAGTACTGTTTCCCTTGTTCGGTTTTCCTTAGTAATGGATTTTTATGGAATTTTCCATTCCAAACACACCACACAGAGCAACTATTTACAGGGAATCTTGAGCAGTTTTGTGCTGTGCCACTCGTCTCAGACCCAGCACCTTGCATTCATTTTTATTAATATTTTATTCATGGAGGTTTCTGAATGCGGCAGGGTGGTTCATTGGATGCGGTTAGCTGCTGTTTCTTTCTGAGCTGAAGTTGGCAGATCGTTTTTTTGAGGCGTTAGCTGTTTTATTCCTGGATATCTGAGGCAGCACTGCAGGATTCACTGACAGTTTCAAAATCTCAGCTCCCTTTATAAAAAAATCTTATGTTTTGAATTATTTTCATACGTTTGGGTAACATTTCCGCAGATTTACCACATACTAGTTGTTTGCAAGGGCATACATTCCCACAAAATGATTACCATGATAAAAATTTGACTTTTTATTAACATTTTTTTGTTGATTATTTTATTTTATTAACCTTGTTAGCTTTATTAAAGTTCATTAATGAGACTCTGTACTGAAAATGATTTTCATTTATTATTTTAATTGTTGTAATTTAATTTGATTCAAAACATAATTAAAAAAGAAAAATAAACGTAATTTAAAGGGATTTTTTTCCCTATTACCAAATATTTAGTTTTTCTTTAAGCATAAAACGCACTCATTTTGTCAGATTTCTGTGAAAACGAGACTTAATATCTCATTAATATTTCATATAATATGATATCTCATCTGGCAGTTTGCTTCTCAAGTGAATTGATTTTGTTTTAAGGATTTTTTTGATGTTTCTTTTTTTTAATAATAATTAATCTTTCCTTTTATTTCCAGGTTTTAACTAGATTTTGAATCCCATATTTACAGTGTGAAATCATTTGGGGCCTCACTGTAAATGAATAAAAAATACAGGTCTAAAGTATTAATGCAGTATAGCTATACTGGTAAAAAAAAAAAAT